CTCATCCTTCTTCTTATCGGCCCCCTTGGCCGGGTCAGGCCGCCAAACCTTGTTGTTGTAGTACTGCTGCTGGCGGCTGTCGGCGGGTCCCTCGTCCCAGCCGCGCTTCCACCCTTGGCCGCGACCAGAGTCACCACGTCTCTGTGTGGTCGTGGGCTGGGTGGATTGCTGCTTCGGATTGCCCCGCTTGGTACCGGTCTCCTCGGCCGTGCGCTTCTTGGTCTTGTCTGCTGGCGGCGGGGAGGCCGGGGCTTCCTTGGAGATCGTCTCCTGCCAGAGGATCGTGTCATTGAGGATCTCGCGGGAAGCTCGCCCAAACGACTCGTTGGCTCTCATAGCCTGGGCCAATCTCCAAGCCACCGTCTCATAGTACACCTTGAACTGGGTGAGGCGGTTCGGGACGCTGCGAAGCTTGCGGTTGAGGGTGGCGAAGAAGGAGAGGATATCCACCTCATCTCCCAGCTGGATCAGAACCCAAAGCCACTGAATGCTCTGCATCCCATCGGAGATTGCGATCAGCGACCGGGGTCCCAACAGTCCTCGGCCTGCTCGGTCTGAAACTCGCCCTGCACTGTGAAGCGGACCTTGGTCTCGGTGCGGCGCCTGGCTAGCGGATTCAACTCGCCGCTGGAGGAGAAACGGCGCGCCTGCAGCACCGCCCCCAGAGGCACGGCGGTGTACTGCTTGGACACCTCGTGCTCGTAAAGAGCCTTGGCTACGATGCTCTCGGCCCCCACCAGCTCCACCTCGGGAAAGGTGCGGTCACGGCCACCGATCTGCTGCGAGTTGTACCTAGTGACCATCTTGTGCCATTCGCCCGCTGCAAGCTCTGTCGGGATCTTTCCCGCCGAGGCCGACGAAGCCCCAGGTGCCGACGAGGCAGGTAGAGGAGCCACCGCCGCGATCGCTGCAGCCACCTTCTGTCGCGACTCGATGCAGAGCTCCCTAAGGAAGAGAAGGGTGGCCTTGGCAATGGGCAGCTCGTCGGCGGTGATGCTGTACGCCACAGGGGAGCCCCACCCTGCCGCGAGCGGGTCCAGCAACGTCTTGGAAAACTCATCGGCCTGAGAGGAAAGGAGAGCGATGGCCCCAATGCTCACCAAACCTCGCGCCCTCAAATAGCGCATGAGGTATTCGGATACCCCGGCCGAAGTGGCCAAGCTCTCGAGGGTGTCGCCGCCTCCGCCCGCATTGGCCATGAGTCGCATGCAGGGAGGGGGGGGCAAACACACTACAAAGGGGGGGCCGAGATGCTAGCAGAACGGGCGCCTAAGCTCCTGAGTTGCTCCTATGCCGCGAGAAGCAAGCCTGAGAGTGCACGATCACAGCACGCCAAGGCAACCACCGAAGTGGCCAAAGAGCCGGCCCCTTTTTGGCACCGTCGGGCCTCAGAGTCCGAGAGGCTGTCTGATAAAGGTCAAGGCCGGGACCGGGCGACCAACTGCGCCAAGCCCCCAGCACGACCTGCCGGGCGAGCGCGCCACGGCTCAAAGGAGTGTCTCGCGCGACACTCCGGAAGGGCTACGCGGCTGCTCTAGGACGCGGCCACCGCTGGGCCTAGTCAAGCTGAGCCAGCCGGCCCCCCGACCCCGAAGATGAGCGTGGCCACGTCGAAGGCAAAGGTGTAGCTGGGTCCTGGCGGGCGCGGCGAAACTCGGAAAAGCAAAGCAAAGACCTAAACCGCAAAAGTAAACCTTTCTCCCGGGACCCGCAGCCGCCGCGAAGTCTAAGGCAAAACCGGCGCGCTGACTGCAGAAAGAAAACTTCAAAACCTCGGCGTCACAGCCGCGATCTGAGACCTCAGCTAGAGTCAGAAGCCGAGGAAGAAGACGAGGAAGAAGATGACGAGCTGGAGCCCTCAAGCTGTTCCGGGAAGCAGCGCCGGCACAAGCGCAGGCGTTCGCCCATGGCGTCCCGGTGTGTGCGGTAGAAATGTGACCACCCGTAAGGCCAGCCGCAGGAAGTGCGCCAGTGCCCGATGTCATTGGTCTTCTCGGGCACCCCGATCGCATGTGCGACTCTGCGGCGGGGCTGCACCACCAACATCTCCTTGGGTTCCAAAACAGCCTTCATGAAACGGCGAAGCTCGTCTCGGACCTGGACCGCCGTGATCTCGCCGCCGGCTGCATGCTCGGGTCCCTTGCTGGCTGCCGGCTCGGTCTCGTGTGTGAGGTCAATGGACGGCGCTTCGGTCGGAGAGGGCGCGGGGCCGTGCAAAGGAGAGCTGACCAAAATCGGGGCAGCCGGCCCCGGCACCCGGCCCGGCAGGGCGGCCCCGACAGCCTGGCGCACGGCGTGCGGCATGCGCAGCAAAGGGGCCAGCTGCACATACCGGTCAATGGCTCTGCTGCTCCACCGGCCCTGGAGCTGGATCATGGGGACGCTCAATCCCATCGAAGCCAAGAACTGAGTGCCACTAACTCTCATGACGTGCCCCTGGAACCGGGCGACCTCTCTGTTGCACTCGTCCCTTCGTGTGAGGGGGACGCAATGACCCGCTCGAAGACCTTGATCACGGCATTCTTGGAGAGGGGCTTCCCGTCGGCGGCCGGGAAGAGGAAGTCCACTGTGACCCCGGTCTGGCGCAGCAGGTGCAACCTGTGGAGGTGGCGCTCTGCCGCGTGATACGGGCACATCTTCTCGGTCCTTGCTCGGCAAATGCACGCATAAGACCTGACTGTCAACTGGCCGCTGGTGTCTGCCTTGGAGATGGGGACGAGGAGGTGCACCTGAAAATCTCCATCCTTGCTAAGGTAGAGATGGTGCGCCCGAGCGTTGGACACTTCAATCTCGCGAAGCATCCACCAAAGAGATACGAGAGCCATGTCTGTCTCGGCAGCTGGGTCCCCTAAATGAAACTCGAGGCACTGCTGCGTAAAGGCGACGAGGGGGGCAAGCAACTCTGCGTCAAAGCTGTCCTTGAGCTGGGCCGGCCCGAGTCCTCGCTTGATGGCTCGCACTGTGTCGCGGATGACCCAGCGAACCTCCTCGCCCACGGGGGTCCCGGAGCTCCGCACCTGGTGCCCCACTGCTGCCCCGAAATATTGCGAGCATGAGTGGTAGCCTCCCGCTTTAAGGCTGGCCCCAACACACCTGACCGAGGCCGCGGTGATGGGGAAAGGGACCTTCTCCCAGGCGTGACAAAGCTCCTGCCACGAGCGAACACGGCTGTCCACGGAAGACCTGGTCGTAAGGGCTAGAACATCTGCCTGGAGGGCTTCCAAAGAAGCCTGTCGCTTTTCAGGCCGAGCCGCCTCTAGAGCTGCAGCCCAGGAGGCCCTCTTACGCGGGCGGTTCTGAGGATGGTCTGCGCGACCGGGGGGCAAGACTGGCACAACCTCCAGCTTGCCCCTTATCAAGGCTTCAAGCTGCCACGCTTGTGCCCCGGCCGAAAGGAGGGCGGAAGCATTAGGCAGAATGTCGTCGACCCTCCGAACCCCATTGTCGAAAAGCACCAAGGCCAAGGGCTGAAGCCCAGTGGCCCGAAGCCTGTCCCAAAGCTCATGAGCCATGACGTTGCTGCAGGGCCGCCCGATGAGGGGAGGACACGGCAAGCAAACATCGAACAGCACTAGTGCAAACAGCCCGGTCCTCGGCGCCCCGCTGGAGCAAGTCTCGCAAAAAGTGAACCGACTTCTCCAAGGTGCCGCGGGCCCGGCACAGCAAAAGTAGATTAGGCATGCTGCGCAAAATCTTGACATGATCCTGAGGGAAGCGCTGTCTCCACTCTTGATAAGAGGAAGCCCCCAAGGCGCCGGACCGGAGAACTCCTGTGCCTACGGGCTCGCCGGCTCCAACCTGCAATGCGGTCAAAGCGTCGAGAATGGGCCTTAGTGCCAAGCGTCCCTGTGCAGTCAGAGCGGTATCCAGCTGGATCAGCGCGTGCCGGCTTTCCTCGAAGATGTAATCGTAAGCCTGCTCTGCCGACATGCTGTAGAAAACGCCAAGCACATGAAGAGCGCCCTGTGCGAAGGCGATATCCAAAGCTCCAGTGCCCACCGACATAGCACAAAGGAGCGAAAACTATCAAAATTCCTTCTCGACTTTGAACCCGCGCTGCGATGCCCGGCATCTATGTTCAAACTCGAGAGCTCCAGCACATGTCCCTATGCACCTGCGGTGCTGCGCCACAAGTCAAAAAGAAAGTATCAAATCTTCTGACGTCTGAACTGTGATGGCTCGCTCGTGCCTGACCAGCCAATGCCAGCCCTGCTGCAAGTTGCAGGTGCTCTGTGCCCCACCACCTCAAGCCATGCCTCAAGCACACTTCGTTTTGAAGACCATGCACAGACTCCAGGACACCAAGAACTCCGAAGCGCGGCAGAGGAGCCGTCTCTGGCACTTGCCTGTGGCCTGCAAGAAATGGTCGATGCTGTTGTGCATACACGCACTTTCTCCCTTGAGGGGAACGCTTTTGAACTTGATGGACACCGCGAGTGCAGACAGCAAACAGCATCGCCTAGCGGAAGTTGGCATCTTTCACTCCTATACTTGCCCAACCGCTGAGGTTTGCTCTAGCTCTGTACAGTGGTAAGAATGTCTGCCTGCACCGCTGTGAGCGCTGTGGAAACTCGGTGGCCATGGAGGCTCCGTCGAACGTTTCGGAATAGGTGCAGGTCGGTGCAGGTAGATCTAGGGCGAAACCCTTGGGAGATGTTCACTTGCACGGAACTCTTACACCGGTTGCCCTGGCCGACTTGAGCTGGAACAGCGCTGGAAGGGATCGTTTGCCCTGGCACACTGATATCAAAGTCCTTGCCGCCCCCTGATCCAAGTCCAGTCAACCCTTTCCTCATTGCAACGAATGCGAAGTACACTTGGACTGCTTAACAGCCTCTATGCCAGATGCCGACTGAAATAAATGGTACTCTGTGCTTCACGCTGACTTCGGCAGCTGAGGCATCGAGTGCACCAGCTTGCTGGACCTAAGGAGCAGGTGCATGCTAAAGCATAGGCCATAGGCACGAGAGTAAGAGTGCGTGGATTTACAGTTACAGTTCTCAGTCCAATAAGTCCACCAAGTGCTCAATGCACGTTCTGGACATCTGGTGCCTCAAGCGCTTGCAAAGGAAGATCTCAATCGCGAGTCACTCGCGCGTCATGGCCAACGACGAGCATTAAAATGAACCTCTTTGCAGCTGGGCATCTCTCGGTCAAACTGCTCAGACCTCTTGCCGATGAGGAAGACATGCCTTTCGGTGAACAAGAAAGAAAATGCAAGGAAGGCCATGGTGATTTCTGTATTGTGCTTCCGAACTACATGTTGCGCGGCATCGGGCGATGATGCGCATTGGCCACTACACGGCGCCATGGCACGGAAAGAAGTCCTTCGTAGACCTCCTTAGCGGCCAAGGTACAGCTTGTTTGTGCAAGGATGAAACCTTCAAACTGCTCCCAGTGGCTGCCGGATACTTGCATTTCAGGTCCTGCAGTCGAAGCATTTCTACACAGACCCGTCAGAGCAACGCAGGCATAGGCGTACACGGACTACGAGCTCTCCTGCGACAGCTCCCAGGACATCTTGGAGCGAATGCTCCGATCACCTTTAGGACTCTCGTTGGGCGAAGAGTCCGGAGACACCGGAGACAAATGCGCTTGGCTTTTCGGTCTCCTGTGACAGAGCTTACCCGCTTGCGCAAGATCCCAGCAAGGGCCCAGCCATAACACAGACGAATGTCCTGGATGAGGGCATTGCCGCGATCCCGCAAAGGCCCAGAAAGGCCAGAGTGAGGCGACAGAAGCCACGCATGAAAAGGTGTACGAGCGAGAGCAGCAGGGCCGGAAACTTCCAGAAGCCAGCAGCAGCCTGGAACGTACAGTGAGGGAGGAGGGAAGGTTCCAACGAGCTGACTTCTGAAACATAGCTCCCAGCGGACTCATTTCGGCTGCACGCTGCTAGCCGCAAACATCTATCGTAGGGCAAATCCAGTTGATGCCCCACCCCATGAACAGCCTTAGTAAGCCTTGGTATGTGTACCGATGTTCACAGAGACAACTGTTCTGGTTGGAGAAGGGAAGTTTTCTGTCTCCTACTTCTCATGCAGCGTGGACAGGGATGACAGGGACTATTGTAGCTGGCAGCCCCACCTTGCCGGTTTGCCCGACAGCTTTGGCCCGCGGCCAGGACTCATCAAAAATAAGATGCCAGAAGGACTCGTGGAAGGAGCTATGGCTTTCCATGAGCAGGTCCGGATCGATCAATCCCGATGCAGCTGGGATAAGAGGGTCACCGAAGGCCAGGCTCACACAGGTTCGGTGCTTGAATTTGCCAAGTGCCGTCATGTGGTCGCTCTCGGGCTGACTCAATTCCAGTAGGAATGGTGTGTGCAGTCGTCCCGCGGGTCCTGCGGTGTCCTGGATGGCGAGGTTTGCAAGCTGGTTCGTAATTGGCCTCGACAGCCAGCAAAAATTTCTCCACGAGTGCAGGGGGTGTAGCCAGCTCGACTGGATGCCCAAATGCGGAGACGACAAGGAGACATAGTGACCGAGCTCTACCCCACTGCACTCCTCGAGCACTTTGGGAAGAGCCCCTCGAATGATTAGTCCACCCATCGAGTGTCCGAGGCAGTGCAAGGTTGTCCGCGCATTCATCTTCTCGTTGGACCGGATAATTCCAATTATTTCATCCGCTGCTATCGACGAGAGTTCCCGCAAGTCATTCCCTAGAAATCTACAGCCTCGGGTAATCGTCTGTAAAGGCCACAAAGTCCAGTCCGGATACTTGTGCTTCAAAACGTCCATCCACGTTTGCCAGTCTGCACAAGTGCCTCCCATGCCATGCACCATGATACATGTCGCGACGCATGTGTGGCCATCTCGGCCATCATTACTCTCGGTCGGAGCATCACTCTGCATGGCTGCTCTATGTAACCCTTCGGGCCGAAGTTGGAGTGCACAACTTCCGCGGCGTGACAAAGCTCCTCAAACTTGGACCATCAACGTCAAGGTGCACTCTTTTTAACGCTCTTGTCGCATGCCTTCATTAACCTCTCGCAAGATCAGCGCTTCAACAGCCTCAAGCTGTATCGAAACGAGAAGGTCTGCAAGCTTGCCATGCACAGGCGGTGTGTTGGTCCTGAGACTCGAGCGACTACTGTCGCATTACAAAGCGCGTTTGCGGCGCGCCGCCGAAGTTCATGGGCTGCGTCATCGCAGGCCTGACATGTTTGTCTGAGTCTGGCCATCAAACCCGGCAGAGCTATGGACAGTGAGCACGTGCCAGGGTGGACGCACGTGCGCCAGACATCTGAGGGATTTGAGGCCGCGTCATCATACCTGCAACTGCGAGTGGCTTAATTTAGTGGCTACCCCCTCATGACATCATTTGTCAGAGATTCCTCGCACCAATGAATACATGATATAGGTTCAACTCTGGTCACCGCATGCTGCCTCTGCCTGCGTTAGCCGGCCACTGCGGCTGCGTTGGCATAGGCATGCGATGCATCCTGAGCCGGAGGACTGCAATTGAGGACTGAAACTTGCCCTGTGTGCGGCATGTCTGACTGCCTTCAGGCATCGCATGTGGAAAGCGCATACTGTCGCAATCAATGTCGGAGGCTGTCAGCTAATGCATAGAACTGCACTCCACATGGCATGGCTGCCAAGATGGTGTCAGTTGCATCGACATGAACCGGCAACATCTGTCACCAGAAAAGAACAACGCCCAAAACGGTGTCCGGGGCGAGTACTGCGTCGGTGCAGGCTCTGGTGACCTGCAAACCACCGAGTCTGGAGCTTTCGACGGTATATGAAAACAATTCACCCTGGCCTGTATAAAGGCTGCCGGTCCTGCAATGCTACCGCAGTTCACGAAGCGCCTTTGGCTTGGGAAATCGCTGGTGCAGTCCTCGTCGGTTTCTTCACTGCGGTGAAGCACTTCCTTTCAACAGTATAGATTTCTCATGCTGGTGCTTGGTGACAGAGAACTTTAGGCTCTGAATCCTTGCTCCGTGCGCGGCCCTTGGCACGTGCCTTAGACAGTGGACTGACAAACACAACAAGCAAGCGGTCTCTGAGCACAGCACTTACCAATGTAAGCCTCACGCGCCACCGGAGCACAGCAAGCAAAGCAATGCCAGAACGCCTTGGTTTGCTCAGCTAACAAGGAGGCTGGGGTAGTGGTCCGCCCTCGCAGGCAGAAGCCTCTGCTACATTGGACGTGGAGACTCGAGTGTCTGTCCACCTCCTCTTGCATCCTAACTTCGGCCGGCATAGTTGAAAAATGTTGCAGGTTCGTGAGCGGGGCTTTGCGAAGGCGGCGCGCGTCTGGCCGGGTGTCTGCGGCTTGGCGCTGTCTGTGACGCTTTTCAGCGGCCAAGCCTTGCATTACATGCAGCGGGCATGCCCTCAGCTGCAGTGCCCTTGTGCTGATGCAGGGGTTAACATGTCTTGCCTACTAGTACCTGCTGAGAGTCAGGAGCAACCACTCCTGTTCGAGCACTTTCGATCGCACCCGGGAGCGACCGCATCGCTGAGAAGCTCGAGGTGCAGCTCACCATGTTGTCGGTGTCTGCCCCGTCCAAGTGCAAACCCTGCTTGAGACGAACGTCTCTGCTTAGGCTCAAGTAGTCTCCAGATCCGGACTTAGAAAGCCCTGACTCCTTCTCCAAGATATGCGCAATACGTTGTGTTGAAGTGTCAAAATCTTCCGGCAAAAAAGAGTACTGAGAATGGTCTTGGTCCGAACCGAACAAGTTTCGAAGGTTCCCTCTGCGCCGAATCTGCGATATCGACGCAAATCCAGACCTCATTCCGATGCCTTTGTATCAAGGGACCCCGCCCGCTTTCCCCCCTGCTTGCGACATGCCTAATGCAGCTCAGTGCCAGCCATGCACATGTACACCACAGACTTTCCGGCTTTCCGTTGACCGCGTAGAATCCCGACTTGCAGAGAATCAGACTTAGTTAGTACGCACTTTCGATTAGTATGATGAGGAGGTGGGGCCGGACAAAAACGACACGATTCGGCCAGCTACAAAACTGCAACCTGTGTTAGATACCCAAACAGGCACAGGGGGTCGGAATAGTAAAGTGCATTTTCCACGACATCATGGGTTTGTACTGCTACTGCTACGGCTGCTGCCACGGCAACTGCCGCTCATCCTCCTCTTCCTCCTGCTCCTCACTTCCTCCTCCTACTACTACCACCACTACCACTACCATCACCCGAAACGAGGGCGCGGGGTTTCTTAATCGAAACTGGAAAAAAGCCACATCCATTTCACTCTGTGATTTTTGGGGAGCAGGGCCCGAAAGAACTGAGCACAAACTGCATTATTCTACCCTCGTAGTAATCTCGTCGAACTAGGAAAGCCACAGTACTGTGGCTGCACGGAGATGGCAACCGAGGCCACCACCGACGAAAACCGATAGGAGCAGCAGGCCGATTCCAAAGAAACCCTGAGGTTTCGAAATTGAATTTCTGTGCTCTGCAACGTCGTGTACAAATCAGAGGCCGGCCCAGAAGTGGCCACTGGCTAAGTCGAAGGGCATCCTGAGCAGAACTGTGCTGCAGGTGAAGATCATTAAGTTTAAGCTGTCTGAATCGTTTGGGCTGGGTCTGCAGCTGACTTGGTGGGTTCGACATGGGAAAGAATGCAACCTGTGCAGCTAAACTTTGCTGACTAGAAAACATTCTGACACCATCTTTGACAACGGCAAGAGCCTGCCGCGACCCCTGAGGCTGCGGAAGCCTGAGCAACACATAGGGCCATCAGATAGGGAACTTCTTGTAGCTGAGGTTTATGAAGATTACACGTGCTGATGCCTCAGTTCGCAGCCGAGTGTTCATACCCAAATCGGTATTCCAGGGCTGCACAACGCCTTTCTGAGATTTTGACTCCCAACAAACATCAGCAGCTACTGCTGCGAACCGGCATGGGCTGAGTCATTCGTCTGCTCTGGCACAACGGATGTCACGGTACGCTCCCACATTGTTCCGATTTCTTGCGCCTGATGGAGCAGATCCGAAGCGCAGGAAGCCCGTCGGGGCGCTCAGATTCAGTGCCTGCAATCGCTGCAATGGCGTGAAGGCAGGCAAAAGCCACCTGCATAAGGCTGTGGATGGCAGTCAGGGCACAGCCCTGTAAAGGTCGCGCTGCGCCCTGCTGATCATCAGCGGCTGCTTGAAGACCATCCAGATGGTGTCAGTCCTTGCAAGGTTTGCCGAAACCCGCGACACGCCTCGCGCAGCAAGTCCCAGTCCCGCAGGGAGGGACCGTGGAGCTGCCGTTGAATGCATAGAGGGACCTGTCACCTGACCGTGCAGTGAGTGCGCAGGAATTCTACACAGGGCAAAGTGGGCAAAGGAGTGCTGCGCCTGGGAGCGCATAGAAGGGGTTCGCGATCTCAGCCTGCACCCTGAGCGCATGAATGGGGGTAATGCACAAGCCTGCTTGTGGACTGCGACTGAGCACTCAGCCCATCTTCACTGACTGTAGACGGAAACTGTGGCCAAAACCTGAGCGGCGCGATGAAACAGTACCAGTGTCCTGCCCAGCCGCCGTGTCAGGCACGTGTTCAGATACTCGTTGCCCTCCACAAGTCCAACCTGAGAAAGTCATCAATGACTCTGTTATACTGCACGAAGCGCATGCTTAGATGGTAGCCCATGTGCTTGTTCGCACACTGTAGCACGCACACACACACACACACACATTGTACAGACACAGATCGTACTACCTACCAACAATTTGCACACAAAGCAGTAGAAGGCTGGCAGCTCGATAAGCTGTTCTCCCTCCGGAGAGAGACCACGTGCTTTTGGGTGGGCATGCTGGTTCGGGATGCGATGGTGCTCCCCGGATTGCAGTCGTCATCGGCGCGGGGGAAACTAGTGGCGCATGGACGTGGTAATTATTCTCGGCTTCATGCTTTGTGGTTGCTGACAGCTTGTGACGGTGGTGTCTGGCGCGGTACAGAGGGCTTGCATGGGGGTGCAGAACTCTATTCAGTGGCTCCGCTGGTGCTACCAGGCGCTCTCTTGTACAGCAGCCGGCACGCAGTTTGTTCAGCTCCTTTCGGCATGGCGATGATGGCTTTCGGATTGGAGGAGAGCAAAGTGTCGAAGGTCCAGATGTCTTCTTTGGCATCAGCCTTGCAACCTGACTGGGCTGGCCTCACCCTGGCAGGGCTGAGGTGTGCACGTCTCCGGGCTTGGCGTCTACAAAACTTGTTGAAATTGTCGATCAGCTTGTGTTTACGTGAGCTCCCGGCAATGGCCTCTGGCCAACCACAGCATGCAACAATCACCAGTTCAATAGAGGTCAATCATCACGGCCATCCGAAAGGTCAATGTCACGACGACCATAGAAGTGCCATCACTGCGGTGGCTGATGCTGCTGTAATGAAGAAGAAGGAGAAGAGAATGATGATGATGATGATGATGATTAAGACTATGATGCTGGTGACGACGACGACGACGATGAGGATGATG